TTTATGCTTGAAACAGTGATACTTATCTATTAATGTGGCCAGGACAATGTAGTTTACAGTATGAGAAACGTGAACTTGAAATCTAAAAGCATTTCCGTAGTTCCTGACTTCGAGTACAATGAATCCATGCTGAATAAATTTTATTTCTCTAAGTTAATTTAATTTGTTCTTTTCTTCTTTATAAACAGGCAGTATAAGGACAATATTAAAAAAGTTGATGATGGAGTGAAAGAAATCGTGTCCATGTTTAAACATTTTTATAGAAATGATGGGAAAACAACATTTATCTTTACTTCTGACCATGGAATGACAGACTGGGGTTAGTCTATCTTTAAGTGATATGTACCTTATAATTAAAGTAGTGGTAAATGTAGCTTGTAAATATCTTATAATGTTGAGAGGATTAGATGTCTTAGGATATGCACAGTGTCCAGCACATAATAATTGTATGCTTAAAATGTCAGCATAAAAAAGGACTGATCTTATATAAAGAATCTTTTTTTCTAACTGTATAAAGAAAATATTCTCATTTACAAATAAGAAAGTAGAGAAAAGTGTGGAGAAGAAAAAAAGTACCTATTTTCTGTTTACCTAGAATTTGCTGTAGGTTATAGCAAAGGGGATGATGTTAAAATCGTATTACCAAGGGACCTAGAGACTGCTGAAATTCTATCCTGGATGTGCCTGTGCTCCCTGTGAAATTCCCAAGGCAAACCCAGTGTACACAGAGAACAAAGATGAGGTTTAGGTCTCCAAATCACAATACAGAATTCTAGTGAGCTGGGTTCTACTTTATAAAGGGCTTCTTTTACCTACACCAGGGAGATGTAGAAAAGGGTATGGAGAAAAAGAAAAGGGTATGGAGGCCCTACTGTCCTCTCCAAAACAGACCTCTGGCCTACATCACTTGCCCCAAGCTTGGAAGGATACTGCCCAGAGGAGCTCTTCTCTATTCTCTCTGTCTTTGGTGCCACTCTGGCAGTAGTGACATCACCTGCATGTCTTATTGTTATTATTTTTATTCTTCTTCTTTCAACCAGAGTCACTCAGCAGGCATTCTGGGTTTTTGTTTTAGTTTTTTCCTGTTGATGCTCCAACTTGTTTTATGGGAATATTTTCAAACTAATTGTTTTAAAAAGCTGTAAGTGTTTGGCAATGTGGCCAAAATTAGTTGTAAATGGATCAACTCTATAAAACAAAGTATTAAAAAATAAATATTTATTTATAAATTAGTTCTTATATACTTGTCTTATTATTTTTTATCTTATTTATAGGTTCTCATGGGGCTGGTCATCCTTCTGAGACTTTAACTCCTTTAGTCACATGGGGAGCTGGAATCAAGTATCCCCAAAGAGTATCAGCTCAGCAATTTGATGACACATTTTTGAAAGGTACAAACATTTATCTTTATTGTTTTTGTAAATATAACATTTAAAAATAAAACCAGAGTGTAATTTTAAAAAATTACTTTTCAAATTATACTTTTAAATTCCTCATTTTGATATTTGTGTTATTACTATTTCTGTGTAAACACTACAAGTCAGGGAGCTGTTTGGTTTGTTTTCTCTCTTCTCTCAGAGCCATTTGTTAGACATTTCCCAGCATACCAGTATTAATAACTATTTACTTAGATCTTTCCAAATGTCTAGTAAACTGAATTTTTGATCTTGTTTTGTTAAATTAATTTATTAATTAACTTGAATGTGAGGTAGAGTAAATAAAGATAAAATACATAAGAAGAAACCTAAGGTTTCTTATAGATAAATTGTAAATTTGATTGGAATTTTCCAACTCAAACAAACATGCTATCAGTTACAAAATCACAGTATCTACAGGATATATCCATTAGATAAAAAGGTAGATGTGGTACTGAGATATTTCTACCCTGGGCCCTAATGAAGACAGAAGGGCACAGTGAGTAATGTGCTCAACAACATGTCTTCAGTAAGTAATGGTGCATTTTTCAGAGGCTTATTTCTTAAACATTTGTCAGTGATGGTGGAGAGCATCATGCCGAATCACAGGTCTACAGAGGAGGCATTTGACAAAGGGATAGAATAATGTAGCCAGTACACTGTCATGATATTTCCAGATTTATTTAAACATACAATGAAAGGAATCTAGATGACTCTTTTTTTTTTTATCTACTATATATGTTTAGGATAGTCCTTCCTTTCACAGAATCTAACACTCTAGTGAGAGACTAAAACAATTGTAAATTAAAGAGTATGATAACTGCTATGAAGGAAATTAGGGTGATGTGATAAAATGGATAAGAGGAGTTGGGTCTGGGCTCCTTCCCTCTTGCCCCTGAAATTTCTGAGATACTTAATAAAGTAGGTAAAATGCATTATCTTAAATGTATGTATAGCTTGATGAATTTTACATGTGTTTGTACACCACCCAGATTCATGTATACAACATTTGCAGTACCCAAAAGTTTCCTTTGTGGAGCAAGATACTTTTTGTAGAGTGGGCTAATAATACATCTGTTCACAATGCAGATAAGAGGGAGCTATTTACGTGAAGGTGAGGGCAAGAGTGTACCAGGCAGGGAACAGCAAATACAGAGACATAAAATGGAAAGAGCTTAGCTTGTTTGAGGAACAGAAGGATGTTGCTTGTGCACTGTTAGCTAGGAGGTGAGTACAGTGAGCTAAGGGGTTGAAGAGGTAAACAGGAGGTAGATCATTTGAGACATCAAAGGCCATGGTAAGGAACATGAAGTGAATTCTGAGTTCAGCACTATATCATTAAAGGGTGTTAAGCAAAGCACTGCCAATATTCCAATTTTCCACATTCTGGCTTCTTTGTGGTAAAAGAATTAGATTGGGTCTAAACAGAAGCTAGGGTAAATAGTAGGTTTGTACTTAGAAGATATACCTTTATTTTGAGGCTTGATTTCACAGTGAATTGATGTTTTAGAATCACATGACTTCAAGAATCATCATGGACGGAATGTATGTTTTCTCAAATGACTGTTAAATATCCTAAGTGATGGAGAACGGGGATGTGCATTTTTTCCTCATGAAGTGATCGTTGTGAATTTTTTTGGTAGCTGATAACAGAAGCAGGAACATATTTTTGAACCTTAGTTTATTAAAGGCAATCTCATCATAAAAATATCTTAGAATTCTTTTGGTAGTATATCCAAAAGCTACTAAATTGAGACTTAGTCTCAAAATCACTCGTTTTGATTACTGTTTATTGAAATTTCTGAATTTATATGTAGAGAGATAGGAGAATGAGGCTATCTTGAAGACATAATAGTAACTCAATATACTATTTTAACATTTGTGATTGTGTGTGTGTGTGTGTGTGTGTGTGTGTAGTTCGTGCTCACATGCACCAATGTATCTTTTTAGTTTTGTTGCTATTCTCGTGTTCTTCAGAGAGAGAGAGACTTTAGTGAAGCAGCCAGGCGGGCATCTGCCTCAGGTGTCCGCCCTGTGCGGCCATGCTTTCCAACCTACGGCTTCCAAGGACCTGTTTGCCAGTTACCTAGCTCATAGATCTGCATGAAAGGGGTCTGGGGACCCAGCCTTGCATGTGTGGGGTCTGGGGACCCAGCCTTGCATGTGAAGGGTCTGTGACCCGGTCTGGAAAGAGCTTGAGGGGTCTGTGAGCTCCAGACCCAGCCCTAGCTCAACAATAGGCCCAGTTGGCAGGATTACCAGCAGGTAAAAGAGCCTGACAACTGGCAAAGTCATG